CCCCAGGTATATTAGTTATTCTTTTACATTTATAGTCATTGAATTTGGACTATAAACCAAGGGACCAGATTTAATACCGCAGGCCACTGGTATTCCATAGATTTTTCAGATGATAATTGCTCTGCCTTGAATAACACCACAAACCAATTTAGGCTATGAAAGTGAATCTTGGACAAGAGATAACTAGAATTATGTAAGCAAAAAGGAAGACTAAGTGATACTTAGCTCTGGTGATTTTTAAGCTACTCTGAAAACCTTTTTATCTTATGGTTTATTGCCATAAAACTTAAAGCTCTGCAGCGGTCTGAGGACACAGTTTTACAAGTAAAGTTTTTCTTATGCAGTTTCCCCATTGAAACTACATTTCCAACTACATTTGAAAATTCACTGCTTTGGGTCATGTAGCAGTACATGGACTTTCTTACCCTGGTGAACAAAGAGTTCTTTTCTGTTTCAGGGAAAATTTTAAATGCTAAGTAGGGCTTGCCATTCTAAGAGGCAGTATTGGCATACGGAGACAATTTGGGCCATCTAATTCCTGAGTGTTTGGCCAGCAGCTGTGGCCAAAGTTGATAATTGTGCCTGGTTAAACTTAGTTCTCTCTGACATCACGCATCATAGAGGAAAGCAACCCCATACACTTTTTCTTCAGGGAGGGTGGAGAATTCTTATAGATGATTCAGAATCAAGGAATGAAAATGACAATGAACATGCAAATGCAATCCTGAAAACAAAATTCTGTCTGAGTTTGTTGGCTAAAGAGACAATAGAAATTCCCGAGTGGAACTGACAGATGTGACTTCTGTGGTTAGAGGCAAGGAGCCACTTGTGGCACCATCAGGAAGTAAAGGAGTGGCTACAGAGTAAGGCCCTGTTACGGTCTGTTTACCAAGTTCTGTAGGCTTCACCAACCATCACGTCACTTAGTGTTTTTGTGGAAACTAGATAGACAACATGCGTCACTGTGGTTATTTCACTTTATCAGAGAAGTAGAAGGAAGAGTTCTAGGCACTGAAGATATCATGTAGGTATATGGGTCTCTACAAGTAATTATTATACAGAAGAAGAAACTAATTGAAATGTATCCTGTCAAGACTGATTAAAAAAGATCAAACAGAAAATATTTCTAAATATGCAGATGTTTACCAACTGTTCCCAGAGGCATCCATGTGGCTGTGACACCCTCCCTATCAGCCTTCCATGTTTGAGTTTTTTAGGCCAAAGAAACCAAACATCTCCTACACTCTATCCCCAACTCAGAGACACTGCTAGGAACTCTAGTTCTCCAAGATTTAAAATGTCTTCACCTCTATCCCACACAATAGTCTTGTGCTACAGGCATCTGAAGGAGAGAAGAATAAGAGAAGAAGACTACTGCCCTCTCTTTATTCCACCTGCCTCTGATTTTTGCTTATCAACATTTGTTGTTTGAGGGGGTAATATTGTGGTTTTACCTCTTTCTTGCATTCACTAAGTTTTGATGGATCCTACCCTTTCTCTTTATCCCCTCTTCTTTGGGACCTTAAGTTATTTAACAGGACTCTACCCTGATTGGTCTAGGGTGTACTGGGAGGAACATAGTGCAGTATGTGTAATGTGAAACAAGCCCATGCATTCTTTATCTGTGCAGTTAATCTTATCTAACTAGTATATTTAATTTAGAAGGCATTATCCCTCTGGCTCAGAAAAAGTTTGGTATAAACCTAACCTTCCCTCTCTCTCTCATGCCCTTCCTATGCTGTTTTTTTGTTTGTTTGTTTGTTTGTAAGCCAAGAAAAACCCTTGTGAGTTCTCCCACTTCTCCATTTGTCCAAGACTCTGACAGAGTTAAACTGTTGGCCTGAGAATGTTGTCAAGGGGCACAGTGATTATTGTGCTCAGTGCTGTGCCTGATTGAGAAGAAGGGAGAACACTCAAGAGCAGGGACCACAGTGTAATAATGGAAAGAGAAATGGCTTTGGAATCAGTCAGAACTGGGTCAGAATCCTGGCTGCCTGGACAATTATTTTAACCTTGATGAATGTCAGTTTTCTTATCTTTAAATGCACCTAGTAACACCCAGTGCAAAGAACTTCTAAATATACTAAATAAACTAATGTATGTGAAATGACTGATAAGTTATAGACAATCAGTTTCAGAATCAGTTTTCTTCTCTCTCCCCTTTAATTTTATTTCTTCTACCCTCCCCTCTTTCATTGAGTATCTGACATAGACAAAACTTAATAAATAGCCTTTGACTGAATGAACTGATGTGGACATGCTGGTACTACTGTGTTTGCAAAGTGTGTAGAATGAAATCCCTTTTGTGGCCAGCCCAAATTCTTGCTATACATAGGGACTTCCTTAGGACTCCAGAATTCCCCAGATGGACAATGAGTGGGATACTAGTGAGATCAATACTCTCATTGTTTTTTGTGTACATTAATATATAGAACTCTGCATATTAAGCAGATATTTACATTGGATAGAAAAGGATTTCCCACATTATATTTTTCGGCACTTACTAAGAAGGTCTAAAATAATGGAGGCTCTGTCAACCTCTCCATCTCATTTCCCACCATTTCCCTTCCTTCCAGTACTCTAGCAACTTCTAAATTATATTTTAAATAATTCAAAAGTACTGCTACCTCCTCAGTGCCCCTGTGCAAGTCCTTCCCTCCATTAAACTCATCCTTCCCTCAATCCTTCAATCCACAATCCATTAACTAATCTTTTAGTTCAACTGTTACTTCTGGGAGGCCTTTCCTGATCCCACCATCCCGCCCAGCCTTCATGGTTCTTTTCCGTTTACCACATTGGTAGTTTTTTTTCTCTGCTTCTTTGTTTGCTATCTTTCCCTCTAAATTCTCATCTTCATGAGACATGAGTCACATCTCTTTTTATATATTCTGTATTTCTATAGAAAATAGTTCCTGACATATAGTAAATGCTTTAAAAATATTTGTTGAAGGAATGAATGAAGAGGAGGAGAAAGTACTTCACTGATTTACATTTGCTTCTCTTCAAGTAATATTCCTCTCAGTAGGAAATGGTTGGATACATTTCCCACAAAGTTATTCTAAATAATTTGGAAAACCTGAAAATGATTTTATTTTCATCTGAATCTCTAGCATTCATATTGTTAAAACCGGTTTCTTGTAATCAAAAACAACCATAGATCCACGGGGCAAATACAGGAATAAACACCCCTTTAAAACAGGCAAGCTCTGTGGGCCATTCACTTCTAATGAGTAACAGAAGGAATTTTATTTATTGGCCCCAATTCCATTAACATCAACCCATGATTTTTCAATAAGGATGCAGCCACACACCTCTAATTTCCTTTCTTAGAGTCTGTGTGATGTTGTAAATGCAGGTATACTCCTTCAGCAAGTACAAAATGATTCATAAGGTATATAACATCACAGAAGGCTTGACAAAAGAAAACAAAAGGTAACTACAGTACAACTGCATGACTGGTGTTACTAGGTTACTATCCAGTAAACCTCCCACTTATCTTGGGCTTTTGGTGTTTTCAGTTCCATTTAGAAAGGGTTGGAGCTACCTTGATGTGTCTAACCCTGTAATTTATTAAAAGCCTGGCCAGAAAGGTGGCTATTCATAATAGCAGGAAGCTGAATGTTTCTTTAAAAAAATATCCCTACAGCTAGATAAATGAACCAAATTATTGGGAAGGACAGTGGCAGGAAATTTTGACTAACTTATTTTGATTAAAATTTCTTTTCTTAGTATCTGAGTGCATGCAACTTTTCACAAGATTTATCCTACCAATATAGGATAAATATATATTACCTGCTAATGTATTACTATTTTGACCTGTTGAACACATTTATTCTGCCCTTAAATGTTGTCTTTTAGCACAGATGGGAGAAAGTTGGATGAATTAGTATGGCTTTCAGTTGTTCAAATTCACCACTTCTCATTTAAGAAAATGAAATAACAGCAGCATTGCTTTCCCAGAAATATAAGCAGAACCATCCACAGACTATAAAACATGAATATTTAGTAAGATAATTGGGACATAAGAAGTAGCTGTGGACTTTAATAACCATTAAGGCCTAACAGAGCTATGGAAGGAAGGAAGGAAGGAAGGAAGGAAGGAAGGAAGGAAGGAAGGAAGGAAGGAAGGAAGGAAGGAAGGAAGGAAGGAAGGAAGGGAGAGAGGGAGGGAGGGAGGGAGGGAGGGAGGGAGGGAGGGAGGGAGGGAGGGAGGGAGGGAGGGAGGGAGGGGAGTCTCTTAATAAATAAGAAGGACCATTCATTCAGGCAGGAAATCCTCATATATGTTTTAAGCAGCTAATATGTGTCAGGGAGAGTGCTGGGAGCAAGGGGGAAGAGGAATGAAAGTTGTGAAAAACAGACAAGGTGCTAAATTCTGGGAGTCAGACTCTCCCAAAGGAAATTCTCACAATAACGCTGGGCAAGTGCTTTTATATGTAAACAAAGTTCTCAGAGAACACAAAAGAGGAAATTCTAATGCTTCCTGGAGGAATTCAGGGATGCTTTAGAGAGGAGGTAGCCCTTGAACAGGTATTCATGGATGGATGCCTTTTCCCACTAAAATCTGCAATAGAGTAGCCATTCCATTGCATTGCTGAGCAGAAAATTTGTGAAGGGAAATCAAACATATCTGAGAACAGATTGCTATTATGAATTAAATTGAAAAAAATAAGTCCTTCATAGTAGGTCTTAGGTTCACATAACTCCAAGATATTAACTGCCACAACAATTCCTAGTAATGCTATTACTAACATTCATTTACAGTCTTTTATTAAAAATTATATATTAAATACTAAGAATTTATAGCACTTAATGCTAGGTACTAATCTTATTTAATTTCCACAGCCAGGTGATGGAATTCTTATTTCCACTTTACAGATGAAAAATTTGAGATGAGAGAGATTAAGTAAATTGTCTACAGTTATGCAGTCAGTAATGGTGGGAGGAGGATTCAAATTAGAGTATGACTTTGAGGTGTGTTTTCTACTCTTCTAATCCAGGGGAGTATTTGAGAGATAAAGTTCTGAAGGCATGAGCCAGATGACAACTTCTCTTCAATTCACAATGAGAATATGTGATTCCTGGAAGCAAGAGGCAGAAGTAGAATATGCCTGAAATGGTAAACATGGTTCTTTTAATTTGCAAAATTTCAAATATCTAGACATCCATAAGATAATGAAGCAAACCCATGCACAATAATCATCACTTTGCCAATACTGTTTTATTTCCCTCCTAACTTTTCTTTTTACTTGCGTATTTAAATGCAAATCAAAGATATCAAATCTTTTTTTTTTCTTATAAGCACTTTAATATGCATCTCTATCTGATAAGGATATTTCCCCTCTATTATCCTAGCCATATTTGAAAAAGCAGTTTTCTCTTTATATAGAAGATATATTACCATTGAATGTTTTCAAAATTCACATGTAGCCTCTAGGAATAAAACAAACAAAAACAAATAGCTCTACTGTTTAGACATATAAAGTGATGTTGACATCATTAATCAAATCACATGAAAATAAAATTATTCTGAATGATTAACTTTGATCATAGCTCATTTTAGACCAGCAATTTTCAACCTTTTATATCTCATGGCACACATAAACAAATTACTATAATTCTGTGGCACACCAAAAAATATATACTTTTTGCCTATCTGACCAAAAAAAAAAAAAAAAGTATAATTTTGATTCACTCACACCAGAATGGCTGTTGTTGTGTTGGCTGTTGTCATTTTTTCATTTGACAATATGAGGAAAAAGAGGTCAGTGGCCATAACTAAATAGTCAGGTATTTCATGTTTTAAAAATTCTTGCAGCACAACCAGTTGAAAATTGCTGTTTTAGACACATTTAGAACAGAAGCCATAGGTGCAAGAAGTCCTTCACTGGCTCACAATGAATGAGGGCATGATTTGGACAGTAAGTAAGATACAGCTTAGAAATGTGTCTCGTGAAAACACATAGAGCAGAATTTTAAAGTCCTTCTTTTTAAATCCATTGAACAAGAGGAAAATGTACAAATACAAAGAAGTTAATTCAGCTGTATTTGAAAAAATAACTAAAAAGCTAGGAAAAAAACTCAATAAGACATCTATTCTAGTTAATACTTTTATCAAGTATGCATATATCACCCTGGCTGGTTTGGTTCAGCGGTTACAGCATCAGCCCATGGACCAAAGGGTCTCAGTTCCAGGTCTTGGGCAGGTACCTGGATTGCAGGTTTAATCCCTGGTTGGGGTTGTGCGGGAGGCAACCAATTGATGTGTCTCTCTCACGTTGATGTCTCTCTCTCTCTCTCCCCCCCTCCCTCCCTTCCTTCCACTCTACCTAAAAGTCAATGGAAAAATATCCTCGGGCGAGGATTAACAAACAAACAAAAAAGTATGTATGTGTCATTTTAGAAAGCAAGTTGCTTTTCCTTTTTCAAAACCCTTCAGCTAAAATGCCTACTTTACTCTTACCCCTACCCCAGCTGTCTAGAGACTAAAGTCTTAAGTTAATCAAGGGGCCAAACTCTAACAAACACAATAAAGAGTCATGGTAAAAATGATACTTGGTTAAAAGGTTTACTGGCCCGATTTAAGTACAGAAAAAGTTAAGCGCAAAAGTATAACTTTGCCAGAATATTACAATAGAACCTTCATAAAGGATTACTGAGGCTGGATCTACAAAAATGTAGGTGATTTGGACTGGAAAGAAAACAAAAATTTAAAGCAAAAGCAAAAAAAATGTGTCTGATTAGTAATAGCTTGACGATAGCTCCATCCACAATTAGAACCCCATAACCATTTTCCTTCACTGATCCATCTTCTCAAATCACCCTGACCCTGAAAGGCTCCAGTAAAAGTCAGCTTCTACAGATGTGTGCTGACTCAAGTCAAGAAAGACCAGCTAAGCGCAATTGAGAGCTCACCTGGTTGAAGGAGCCATGAGCTGGTCAGTTCACCTCTGATGTGAGAGAAAGAACAGTTCATTTCTTCTCTAATTAGATACTAGCAAGCAAAATGAGTAGATTCATAGGAGTAGGCTATCATTTTACCCCCTGGATGAGAAAACGAGAGATGGCAGAGATTTGATTATTCAGCAGATTGGCTACAGCTTCCAAATTGCAGATTCAGGCAACCCAAGACAACAACTATATAACAGAATATCGTGTTACACCTAAAATTTTCCTAAAACATGTTTTTATATATTTTATGTTGTCAGTCATCAGTTGTGTTGGGGTATATGCTAACAAGTGTGCATTGGACATCAGTTAATCTTTTAAAATTGATTGAGCTAGTGATAAAACACAGAAAGGATGGATTCATTTAAGGTTCAAGATTCTGACTTCTTTTTGTCTCCGTTTATTCATCTGTAAAACAAATGAGACAGACTAATGTCTAAAGGTACCTCCTAGTAATGAGCTGAAAATAATATAAATATGAAAATGCACTGTAAAGTAAAAAACGCAAAGTATAATTTTTATTATGGATGATTTTCCTTTTTAAGCTGTTTCTTTTATGTCTTGTGTTTTGTTTCTACCTTTGTGGAATAGGAATGATTAACACTTATAAACACAAAGAAAACTTGGTCAGATCTAATAGTAAAAAACAGATATTAATTTATAAAAGTGCTTAACTCTTCTAGATCAATAATATTCCAAGTAATAACCTCAAAGAGAACATGTAATTAATGAACAAAACAAACTGTAATTTCAAAAAATAAATAATTTGTGAAATTCATGGCTCTAGTATATGTAATCTTCTTTGTGGATTTAGGGAAAATGAGACAGCGTAAGAAATTATTGTTGTACACATCACATTGATTTTAGGCTCAAGTGAAGAATGTGATTAGAGTTTGGCTCACAACTTGTTGATAAAAAGATTGTTTTTATATTTTGTTTGGTAATTTTTATTGAGTAAAAAGTTTATGGAGGTAAGAAAGATTAATATTTTTGTCTTTTATATTCTCTTACTCCTCATTCTGTCCTTGTATATTTGCATTAGAGGAGGATAGGGGACGATGAAAGGAAAGTCTTATTAAAATCAAACTTTTTTCCTGGACAATTTTCAGTCTACAACTAAATTCCTAGGGGAAAAAAAGACAAGTCTTCTGTGGAAATACTCCTTAGTATACATTAGTTTATGCTGTCATTTCCAGAACAGCACAGTGATCTAGTGTGTTCACTCTGAAATCAGACTTTCTGAATTGGGATCTCTGTTCTGCCACTTACTAGCTATGTGACAGATGACAAATTATTTAACTGTCCTATCTCCATGATTTGATCTATAGAGTGGGAATAATACCCAGTTCTTATGAATGTTCAGTGAGTTAATACATATACAGTACTTAGAACAATTAAATAGTTGCTTAATAAGTTTTACTTATTTCCAGAAATATTGTACATTTAAAAAACCTTCATTTTTTTGTGAAAGCTACTTTAATTTTTTTTGCTGTATTTGAAAATGAGATGCTCAAAGTAAAAGGGAAAAGAGAATTATACTAACTGCAGAACAAACGGATTATAAATTTGATTTAGAATTGAAATGGAAGGCTCCTGATAAGAGAAGGCCCTGTCATGTCAGAAGAAAAATTGCCCATGTAACTTGATCTGTTGCTAGCAGAGGCCACCATGGGAAAGCAGGACCCTGCAGATGTTGCTGTAGACACTGTCCTTTTGGAGGACAGCCTTGGATACAGACCAAAACTATCCAGGTTTATTCTCTGTAACTCAGTGATCTCTTCTTGGGAACCTAAGAGCTAAGAAATTAGTCCAGAGGAGAGTAATCTCTATCATGTTCATAAAAATGGCCATTGTACTTTTATGTATAATCATGAAAAACTAAGAAATGACCTAAATGTCTCATAGGAGAATATTTAATTGATGAAATGTCATACCATTATAAAATCATACATATAGTAATTATCATTGTGGAAAATAAGATTTAATATTAAGAGAATAAAGGGATTAAAAGTATATATAGCTTATTACTGCAGCACTTTAAAAACATTTATAAATATTTTATGTAATTATATAGAAAATAAGGAAACTGGGAGAAACAACTGGTTTTCGTCTGGAGAAATCATGAGTAAATTATTGATGTTTGAAGAACAAATACAAAATTAAAACAAACATGAAGTTCGATGCTAAAACTAATCAAGCATTTATGTTTTAACAAACTGAAAGTTTAAATTACTGTTGGATTCTATTAATTCTTAGATGATTTTTCTGTCAAGACTGATGCTACTACTAAAACAATGTATATTTTACATGTGTGATAGGAAACCTGATATGTTATAACTTAGCAGGTTTGAGGTGAGAAAACAATTTATTAATTTTTTTTTCCATTTAAGAAGTAAATGGATTGTAATAACTATGTATGGTGCTAGGTGGGTACGAGACCTGTCAGGGGAAAGACTATGTAAATTGTCTAACCACTATGCTGTGCATCTATAACAAATATAAAAAAAGATTGAACGTTATTTGTAATATAAAATTTTAAAATTATTAATTAATTAATTTAAAAAGTATTGTGTAAATTTAATGTATGCAACTGATACACTTAACACATTGTCAAATGATAAAAAAGAAGTAAATGCCCTGGCTGGTTTGGCTCAGCGGTTGGAACATCAGCCCGCAGGCCAGAGAGTCCTGGGTTTGGTTCCAGCTAAGGGCATGTACCTTGGTTGCAGTTTGTCCCCGGCCCAGTTGGGGTCGTGCGGGTGGCAACTACTTGATGTCTCTCTCTCTCATTGATGTTTCTCTCTCTCTCTTTTCCTCCCTCTCTCCCTCCTGCTCTATCTGAAGATAAATGCAAAAATGTCCTCGGGTGAGGATAGAAAATACGCAAACAAACAACAACAACAAAAAGAAGTAAATGGGAAATAGTTAAACGTTCAACATTTAATTACTATAGAGTGGGAGAGTGGAAACCAATATGTACTGAATATCTTTTATGCAATATGTAGGGTTTTAAAAAAACTTATTTAAAAAGACTACAATAAAATTATGATTGATAAAACCAAAGTACAAGAATTTATCCAATA